GTAAATATTCATTGAATAAATGAATGAAAAGCACATTATGTATTCATGTTTTTTTGGTGTCCATGGCAAGAAGCATTTTTAGATTATGTTTATTACAAACTTATCTTTAATTTCCTCTCGAAAATTACAGTAATATGCCAATGTTCTAATGCACTTAGAAGATGGTGTAGGTCAGTGGTTCTCAACTGGGGGCAATTTTGCTACCCCAGAGGACATATATATGGCAATGTCTGAAGACATTTTTGTCATACCACAGATCTGCAGCAAAGAATGATCTGGCCCAAAGTGTCAATAGTGCTGAAGTTGAGAAACCATGAGGTAGATGGAAGTGCATAGAACCTGGCAGGTTGATTTTATTTTGTTCTACCTTTTGGAGTTCACCTCTTTGGATGTTATTAATAATAATTACAGAGAGAATAATAGTTTATATCTATTACATTCTTGCCATGTTCAGGCACCATTCAAGCTTTTCATAAATATTATCTTATTTAATCCTCTCAATGGTGCCGTGAGTTAGGAACTACTTTTTATCTTCATTTTTCAGATGAGACTAAGATTTAAAAGGTTAAGTAATATTTCAAGATCCTGCAGCTACTCAATGTTAGAAATGGGACAAGAACTCAGGGTCTGTGCTTTTGCCCATTATACTATACCTCTTTCTCTATAAAGAGTCTCCAGCTTAAAGTCTAAAAGGATTTCTGCTGTCAGTGTATAGCCGCAGCTGAAAATATAGAGGAAATTTAAATTTAAAAAAAATCATTATGGCTTAGGTATTTGTAATTTTACACTTACACTAATTTACACAAAGATACTGTATACTGGCTGACATGTGTAGGCTGTTGTTGATCCAAGGGTCAGAAGAAATCTTCTGTATACTATTATTTTGTGGAATTCCCAAGAAGCTCAAAGAAAGTTCTGAGAGTTTTTTACTCAAAATTGAACTTGTCGCAGTCAGTCAGCACATTGTGATCTAGATGGGACTTTTCTCCTATTAAGGTGTATAAACAGTGACAGTTCACTCCATGTAATCTTTCTAGGAGCTTTCTTCAGGACCACATCATCATCTTACATAATCATAAAAGAATCACTCCTGATTAAAATATGCCTGCAAGACAGCCACCCTGCAAGGCAAAGAGTTGGCTGATGAGGCTTTTTGTCTCCTTAAGGAGGACACAATTCAGGCAAGTGGAAAATGTACAATTTGGGTGCATAATAATAGATTCTAGGTCCATCCCTGAGTACTCGATTAACTCCCAATGATAATCTCCTTGAGGCTGTGAGCTGATGAACTTGAGGTAAAGTTTGTTATTCTCCAGTATTGTTTTTTTGTTCCTTAGGCCCTAAAAGCTTGGTTTGTAGACAAAGTTAAGAAGCATCTATTCCTTTTACATAGGAACTTAAGAGACTTTAGTGTAGCTGCTTTTCCCACTTAGGAAATTCTGTTCATTGTGTGCCTCTGTCACACATTGAAGAGTCCAGTGGAATACTCAAAAACATATTAGATCCTATTCTTTTAGTCTCACTTTCCTACCTCTTCTGAAGAGTGAATGCTAATAGCACCGAACAGTTTTTGGTTCATAAATGCTTCATAAAAGTGGGCTCCTGTGATTACAAATAGCTGTTTAAGGTCCTACTAGACATTAGTGCTTGTCATTCAGATGAACATTTTCCATTGAGGCCACATTTTGTAGATAGTCATTACACTGCTCCACCTAGAAGATGTAGTTTACATATAAGGTGTAATTTGAGACTATCTCCTGGGGATAGAGGGGATTAGTATGTTTTATGCCTTTACCCTTCTCAAAAGAGTCATGTGAAATGCTTGTGCATTTATTTTACATTTAATAAATTTAAACA